TAAAGTTGGCCCACAGAACTCACAGAGACTTCATTGAGGGCGATCCGATTCTAAGAATAACCATGTCAGATACCTGCCTGCCGCGGTACAACTTCGACCACAGGTACAGGGTTCTGTTTCCCGATCGATGGACGTGGGATAGGGGTGGTCCGGTACTTAGGTCGGGTTCGAGCGTGTGGTATGCGGACGGGTCCAAAACGGAGTCGGGTGTGGGTTCGGGCGTATACGGTGTCCGCCCGGACACGCGTATATATGCAACCCTTGACCCGTATTGCACAGTGTTCCAGGCCGAAATACATGCAATAGAGATCTGTCTGAGAATCAATTTGGAAAGGGGGTATAGAAACCGCACCATCTATGTGTTCTCAGACAGCAGGGCTGCGCTGCTGGCACTCCGTTCAGCTCAGGTTACATCCGACCTGGTCTGGAGCTGCCTTGTTGCACTTAGGGAATTGGCATCGGACAACAGAGTGATGCTCATTTGGGTGCCGGGCCATAGTGGTCATGCGGGCAACGAAGTTGCCGATGAGTTGGCGCGGAGGGGATCTGGGGCTGCCTTTGTGCAGCCGCTGCCTTTCTGCGGTCTGCCTTCTTCCGTTGTGGGGGCCAGGCTTGCCTGCCTACTCGCGGCGGAATGCGGCCGTCACTGGCGGGACACGAAAGGGTGCCGCCATGCGAAGGTGTTTCTTCCGGCGTGCTCCGGCGGATTCGCCGCGGAGTTGCTGGGGATGAGCAGGAGCCGGGTTCGCACTATTGCGAATTTCTTCACGGGGCACTGCCCGGTGAAGTACCACCTGCATAGGCTGGGGAAGTCGGGCTCCCCCCTGTGCAGGTTTTTTGGGGGTGGCGATGAGACCGCCGTGCACATTCTCTGCGACTGTCTGGCACTAGCTGTTCGGCGCCGCAATTGTCTTGGACATGGGTCCCTAAGTGTTCGGGAACTGTTGTCCAACTCCCTTAGCGATATCTCCGGCTTTGTGATTGGGACGGGGATATTATAGACGGGAGAGTGGGGGGGCTACAATAAGTCAAAAATGGCTGCGGTGGCTTGGGACGATGCTCCTGTCCCACTCGGTTCCCTTAGAATCTACAATCTACAATCATCAGCGGATATAGATAGTGATGTATTTTGAAATTTAGGAATATCGGACGTAAAAATGTTGTTAAGAATAGGGCCAAGGACTGAACCCTGCGGAACACCTGCCAGAATAGGCAGCCTATCTTATTGAGTCTCATTTAACCTTACTCTAAAGCTCCTTCCAGTTAAAAAACTTTGAATTATTTTTAGGATATATACGGGAAAATTAGCCTGTTTTATTTTGTGCAACAATCCATCGTGCCACACAGTATCGAAAGCAGAGTTTATGTCTAGTGCAATCATGCCAACTGATTTTTTATTTTTTAAACTATCTTTGACGAATTTTTAATTCTTAACAAAGGGTGGATTGCATTGTGATTGCATCTAAATCCAAATTGCTCATCTGGGAAAAGATTTATATTCGAAATATGTTTACTTAATCTAATTTTTATAATTTTTCCAAATAGTTTAGATATATTACTTAATAAACTTATGGGTATGTAGCTATTTAGATCATCATAAGGTTTATTTGGCTTTAAAATTGCAATCACACCTGATTCTTTCGAAATCTCAGGGAAATAACCCAATTTAAAACAACAATTGAAAATAAAGGTGATATAAAGTACAAAACTGTAAGGAAAATGTTTAATAAAGTTATTACTTATGTTATCCAAGCCAGGAGCTTTTTTAATTTTTAATCGCGATTTGATCAACAACATTTTCTGGTCCAATAAATTTAAAATATTTTGATTGTTAATAAATCCAACAGAATTTGTTACTTCCTGTTCTGTTATCTGATCGGATTCAGAATCAGAAGCCCCAAACTTACTAGCAAAGTGGCTGGCCAATACTTTAGCCTTCTTCTCTGCAGTGTAAAAATATTTACCGCCAGACTTAAGAGCTGGAATAGGTTTAGATTTACTTTTAATAATTTTTGTTACCTTCCAGAATGATTTTGAAGCCTTATCAAAACCATGAAGCATTTTAGACCAGCCATTATTTTTAAATTTTCTAATTTTAAATTTAATTTTTGTATTAAGAAATTTCATTTGCACATAATATATTAGTTCATGAGTTCTGCACCACTTCCTCCTGACATCATTTCTTTTTTTAAATAATTGAACAATAAAATCAGGTAGCTTTTTAAAATGGGGAGTTACAGGCTTCTTGGGAATAGCAAGTTCTACAGCGTTTTTGATTTTACTGTTCCGATATCATATTATCTACCTGCTGTGTATAGATAATAGAATCAATATTTGGTATATCAGCAGCGCTATCAATCAAATATTTTCTGTATAAACTCCAATCGGCACTTTTATAATCAAGAAAAGTGGATTGGAGGCCCACGATCCCCCCGTAGGAGTCAATATTTATTGGAAGATGATCCGAAGAAAGTTGGTTTAAAACTTTTGGTTGTGAAAATCATTTAGGGACATTAGTGATATAGATATCTATTGTAGAAGGACAGCTTTTTTTGCTAGCAGGAATGTAAGTATGATCAGGAGGAAATAGCAGCGAAAATTTGTTTAATTGAACTAGTTCCCATAGGTTACCCCAGCAGTTTGCTATCAAACATCCCCAACTACGATTTCTGGAGTTGAAGTCACCAGCCTGAATGAACTTACCTCGTATTCTTGAAAATAATTGCAAATCCTCCCTGTAGTAAGTATGTAAAATGTTTTTTTCATCCTTGTTTTTAATTTTACCAGAAAAATATATTGAATAAATTTTTAATGTATTTTCGTCATTATAAGTAATCTCAACACCGATATTTTCAATAGCCTTAGTTTTTAATTTAGATAATGGAGCGTGTTTTATTGTGTTTTTTATTATGATAGCTACACCACCACCAGAATCTAGAACGCGATCACTTCTATATACTATCTTATATTGGGGAATAGAAATTTTTATATTATTATTAAGCCAAGTTTCACTTACTAAACAAATACCAACATTATATGTTTTTTAAAAATGCCTAAATTCATCAATTTTGTTGATAATAGAACGAACATTCCATATGATAATATTTGAAAATACATTTGTTGTATTAACCATGATAATTTTTATAATAATATTTTGTTGCCAACTGAATGACCATAGTAATCTGCTGTTCTCTACCTGTACAAGAATTTAAGTTTGAGAAAAGTTCTGTTAGTAAATTATTAATTTCTTCAATTGACAGAAAATCATTTTTATTGTATTCTTAAGGCGGATTTCCACTCAATGTCCGGACGTCCGGACAAAATTTTCAACCAATCAGAAAACTTCATTTTACTAACACATAGGCAATACTAAAATAACTTGACAGTTCGTTCATCCAATTTTTTGAGTTAAAAAATATTTAACTTCTGGCTGAAGGCTGAAGCAAAAATACACACTCAATAGCAAACGTCAGTCCATCAGAAATGTCAGTTCTTCGGGAGTAGTGGAAATCAACCTTTTTACGTTCATGATATTTGCATGGGCTAGTATCTTCTTAACAATGTAAAAATATTATTTTCCGGACGTCTGGACATTGAGTGGAAATCCGCCTTTATTGTTATTTGTACTATAACTTATAAGTATTTTTGTTATTGTTATTTAGGTTATTAATCGTTGCATGTTGTGCTTGCGAAGTGGCTACACCAAAATAACTTTGAAGTTGTGTATAAATTAGGAATATATTTATTATTTTATTTCTTGCCTTGAAGATTTTGATAATGAAGGAAAATTTATGTTCATGTTGTCGTTAATATTAAATGAATTTTTATTGAAAATTACTTTTGAATTTTGTGGTTTATTTTTCAGACGGATGTATTGCGATCTGTTTGAACATTGTGGGTCATTTGCTGTATGCTTACCTTTGCAGTTGATGCATGAAATTTTAGTTTTGTCTGGACAATCGGTGGTTTTGTTATTACCAGAACAATAGGCGCAGTAAGAACTTATGTTGCAGTTTTTCGCACCATGTCCATAAATTTGGCAGTTATGACGCTGCGTGATTTTGCCAGGATGATCAAATTTTTTTGTCCACCTTTAGTGTGATTTATATAGCAATGTTTTGTGCTTAATTCTTGGACGTTTACTGTATTTCTTTCAAAATAAACAATGAAAAAGAAGTATTTTATGCCGGCGTCGGCCATTTTTTCTATTAATTTTAAATGGCTTTTTATTTTTTAAATCGTGGTAAAAATATTCACAATTTTTAGATTTCAATAAAGTTATTGTTTTTTCAAAAGATTCTATAGATTTAAAGAAAATTTTTATTCCTATTGATATAATCTTAATATAATAATCGTTGATTTTATTTTCACCTAATAATTTATGAATAAATTCTGAATTATTTCTCACCAGTGTTAATGGCGGCATTTTAATTGTTTTTTGATTGTCTGAATTATGATTCATTTCGTCAATGTTATTATTATCAATTGCACTTTGTGTTTGTAATGGCAAGATGTTAAACAGGTTTTTTAATTTCAGTGAATGTTTTGTTAGTTGTGTGTCGACTATGTTGACCACGTTTTTACTTTTTTTTTTTACTTTTTTGGCATAATAAAATTATTATTTGCAATGAGTAGACACTCATCGCTATTATATGACCTAATTCTTCTTTTGTTTATTTTATTTATTTAAGTATAAATTAGAGATGAAAATTTTAATAATAATTATTATGTACAAGTATATATTATATGGTTTTATTTATCAATTTAGTTTATAACAAAGGATTAGAACGTGCGTATCCACCGAGTAGTATACTGATACAGTCGATTTAAAGAAACCCATATAAAATACGGTCGTGATTTCAAGTTTCTCTCTTAGCATTGGGACTTGTTAGATATAAAGACATTAGTGCTACAATCGTATTAATACCGTACTTAAAACTTTTTATAAGGCATTATTGCAGTCACGAATAATTTGAACAACAAAATCCTTAAAACAAAACTTTATGAAATAATATATCTATTTATTCAACAGAGTGTTTATTTTTTGTTATTGTAAAATTACAATCGAACACATTTTTAAGTTACATCCTTATATTATCATAATAAATAAAAACAAATTAATTTTATGGCATTTTAATGTTATATAATGAAAGAATATTTGAATTCCTTTCACATGGTTTGTTAAAAAGTTTGTAAAATGTTATCAACATTAAGAGTTAAAGTTAAAATTTTGACAGTAACATTTATATTATTTTCCAGCGTATGTTGGATTTTTAAATGTGGAAGTTGCTTGCTTGTAAATAGGATTTTCGCCCTGAAAAGAATTAAAAAAAAAAAATAATCTCTAAATGTTTCAAAATTCATTTTTATATCACCGTGTCCCACTTTGCCATCATTCTTTCTTTTTCAAACCTCGCAAACTCACGCCTGTCATGAATGGTTGTAAATAATTTCCACAGGAGTAAAATAGCTAAGCCAAAAAGCACAATAGCAGCAATTACTGCTAATACAATTCCTAGAACAAAAACTTTAGGTGGACATTTACGCTCTTTTTCCGCATGAACTTCAATTTTTTCAGAACCGACTTCTCTGTATTTGAAAACAAATTTGCAATCATCTTCGTCGTAGAATTGGCACAATTGTTCATCATTTTCTTCGTCATGAACAATTTTTTCCACTTCTATAGGGGTAAAAAGCGTGCAATTAGAAGCGCAGTCTTCCCCTTTTAATGGTCCAGTTTTATACACCTGACATTGCACACAGTTCTTAAACTCATCACACCTTTTAGCACAAGTAGGGCATTTCTCACAAAAACGACCTGAATAACGACCTTCAGTTGTTACTTCGCATCTAGGGAAATGTAATATTATTTTGTTATTAACAATAATATTATTTTATTAATAACAAGCCTACTTGCACGATCCACATTCGCATTCACCATGTCCCGAGCAGATTTCTTTGCCCCCAGGTGCCATACATGTGTCTGTCGAATTTCTGCATTCACAAGCGGGACCCATCCAACCAGGCTTGCAAATACATACACCACATTCGCAAGTTCCATGCTCTTCCCCAGAACATAAAAGTTGATTATGACGATCGCAAGAAAAGTTGTCGCACTCGCAAAACCTTCCCGATATAACTTCGTCAGGGCGCTCACGTTTGTTGCATTCACAAACTCCACATTGGCAAATACCTCGTCCGCTGCAATCAATTTTGGTTGTATTGTCTGAGCGGCATCCTTTTGCAAAATCCTTAGTAAATGTGTCTTCTCTGTAAAGAAATTTCAAAATTAATTTTTATCACCCTGTATAGGACAAAACTGTTCTTTTTTTTAGTTAATTTATATGATGCAAAATTTATTACACATATATGTATGTCTATTTCATACATATTATTATTAACTATTCTAATTTTGTTTCATTGCATTGTAAAGATTTATTGTCAAATAGTTATGCCATATCAAAGAAAAAAGTACATCCTTTATTAGTATAGTTCATCAGAGTTTTGACTCTTGAACCGAAGTTGCAACAGAAACTTTGAATTTTGGTTTGAGCAATGGGACCCTAGTATTGATTCTGATTGTATCAACTTTTTATAAAACTTTTTGTAGCCTTAATAAAGTAAAAGAAATATAGTTAGAAAATCGGTTATACCGTACTCTCAAGAAACCAACAAAAACAAACGTTATAACAAATTTTTTCGTTATAACTGGTATACAAATAAAAAAATCTGATGTGCTCAGCACATAACTGACCGTAATGTGTATTGTCTAGTTACATAAGTGAAAGTGTTACAGAATATTATAAAAATGTCTGTTAAATACTTCTTTCCAATTTTTAGGGCATTAGTAAGCTTATAGTTAACATACCGTGAAAAATGTAAATTTGGCTCTTAGTAGAGTTTCGTTTATGCTACCCGAATTCCCTGAAATACGCCAGTTAGTTTCGGTAATAACCAGAACTCAAATATCAAATTTCAAGAGATTCAATCAATTTGTTTGGTAGATATGGTGAAAAATGTAAAATCGGCCCGCAGATCAGTTTTCGAGCCCTGATCTTTTTATTAAATTTAAATAAAATCGGTTGATTATTTCTCTTTATATACGCAAAAATGTATATTTGGGCCGTAGCAAACGTCAAGTTGCTGACACCTGATTTCTTCCAAAAGTTAGGAGGTTTCGCAGACGGTCGAACGAAGCTTATATATGAAATTTCAAGTAAATCGGTTGAATATTTTCTTCCAAATGTTGAAAAATGTAAAACAGGCCCGCTAAAAAGTGCAGTTCTCGAGGCCTGATATATTCCAAAAGTTGATCAATCCGTGCCATGGTGGAAATAAACTTACATATAAAATTTCATCAAAATCGGTTCAGCCGAACTTGAGCTACTCGTGTGCACACACAAACCGACAGGTTGCTAAAAATATTTTATTTACACTTCCCTACCATGGAGAAGTGCATTCCCACCGAAAACTCGATATGCAAAATTTGTTGCCATCACATAACCTACCTATTGTATACACAATACAGTCGATAAAAAGTGTACCATTAGTAAACCATGTGTAAACTTAGAAATCTTTATTTTGTTTAATTGTTCTGTACCAAGAAATATAACTTTAAATCAGTCATTTGATAGAAGTACGAAAATTAGTATTGGAAAGGTACTTTAACATCAAATTTAAATCACATATTTGTTTTACGTACAAAACTTTGCTTGGCAAATTGATATAAAAGCAATCAAAGAGTTGAAGAAATAAAAAGTGCATGTTAATGTTTTGCATATATACTTCGTATGTTTTCACGTATTTTACTGAATCTAGAAAAATTCAAATTATCTTAAATATTCAGTAAAGTAAATCAAAAAAGCTCCTTTTTGTAGATGTAATAAATATTGGAATTTAGAAGAAATTAACAAAACGAGGATAATGAGGAAAGTTGAACTAAAATGTAAAGAATATTTTTAAACTACATCCCAAAAAAGGAAGCAATAGTAAGTTTTTTAAAATTTTTAAGCTTCAGGATCAGCAAAGATTTTAGTAGTAGAATCTTAGTGTATTGCATTAAAGAGATAAATTAAGAAAAAAATTACAACAGAATCTAAAAATAAAAAAAAGATATTTCGGTTTGAAACATATGAGAGGAAAGAAAAAAATACATGAACTTGTATACATATAAAATCAGAAAGCATAATATAAATGCGAGTTATTTTTAACATCGTCTAAGACGGCATTAAATCTTTGAATAATAAAATTGTATGAAAGATCCAATTATTCATTATGTTTTTCTTAAGAAAACACATAAAAGTAACCGAAGTCCGAGCAAAAATTTAGTACATTCCAGAGACAATCTATTACTATGGTTTAGCTACTTCCCATAGAAAATGTACTGTTAGTATGGAGAGGGAACCCCTAACATTAGTTCGTTAAGCAAAGTTGCCTAAAGCAGCAAGTTAAATCGATAAGGCTTTAAGTTGCAAAGGTTATGAAAAATTTTTATATTCAAGATATTCTTACCGCTTGACACCCTAACTGATCTAATCAACACTCAAGAACTAATCAAAATATTGAGCACTACTTCATTTCGTATTTGTGAAATAGCAGTTAATTTAAGAAATTAACTATTTATTGCAAAGGATCGACAGGGCTAAACGCTGAAACATGCGTATCAGGCCGGAAAACCGGCAACGGTTGCCCTGCTTCAATGGACTAACACACTAGAAAAGACAATAGAATAAAAAGTGTATTGTGTTCTTTGAACCTCAGAGACACTTCAAAATGTTATTCGACTCTGTGGCTTTTTGAATCTGGAATAATTGAATTAAGGAATCGGGATCATTTTATGGGGGAGATGCCACTTCTTACATACGACTCGGTAGCGAAAGACCGCTTTGAAAAAAACTGTCTCGTTACTGAGTAGCAAAAGAGATCGGGAGAGGGAATTCGCGTTTAACATTATAAAACGGGGTGTTTTGGCAAAGAACCAAATTCTTCAAACCCGTACGGACTATCTGAGCATGTACTGTGCTGAGATGCATGTCATTGAGATGTCCGCGAGGATCCGCAGTCGGTCTGAATATTGAACCAAAAGACACGAATTTTACAAAATTTCTAGTCCTACTTTTTATTTATCTTATAGCGCCCATATAAACTAATTTTGATTTAACACAAATGTGTATAGATCAAAAACTATTCATACGTGTAATTTTTTTTTTTTTTTTTTAATTCATATTTCAAATTAATTATTTAGATATATTATGTACATAACTCAAACTTCTTTATTTAAAAAAAAATCTATGAACAAATAGTGCAAAAAAGCAATCGGTTTTTGGGTAACTATGTATTGGCTGTTTATAGATTAAAATTAGAGCTGTCGTTTGATTTTTTGGATGAGGAGCAGAAATATTCAAAAAAGGAAGCCATTTTCAAATAAAATAGCTAATTCGTACATTTCATAAAAACAATTTATTATTGTACGGATAAAAAAAAAAATCGAAAAAACAAAACAAAAACTTTTAACAAAAATTATAAACAATTTCGAATTAAAAAATATCGCAATAAAAACTTAAACTTATGCAATAGCATACATATGTATACTGGGTGATGCAGTAATGAGCCATTATATTTTTTAATCGTTTGGAGCAAATAAATACAATGTGAGTACGAGTATGTTCCACTCGAATTTTTTACATTACTTACTCGTACAAGAGGAAATGACGTTTTAACCGACTTAATTGATAGTTTTTAGTTGACAAATAATAAATTTGTATGGAATTTTACGCCTGTATGTACCTATATCTGTTATCTATGACTGAGTTCTTAAAATTTTTTTGAAAAATTTCAATAGTCGCCATCAAACATATTTTTTTCTTGCAAGCAGAATGATGGACCGTATTTTAAAGTTGAATGGGTAGAATTTCACCCAGTTTGTTAAGCTTTAATTTAATTCATCAAAGATTAAAATATGGTATAGAAAAATGGTTTCTTCGAAATAATTAAATAAAAGTTGTTTGATTCTGTCAAAATCGGAAAAAATGAAATTTCAATTTAATATCGCATTGATACATCGCATTTATTTTTTTCGAACATATTGTATTATTTGGCATTTGAGAGCTAAAGAATTTTGATGTATTACATTATGTACTTCCATTGTTTACTTCCGCAAGAAAATTGTTTTGATTTATTACAATTCAAAAATTTTTACTTATTTAACAAAAAATAATTTAGTATATTTAGTTTTACCCACTTTGAAAAACTAAAAATAACTGAAATAACTCACGTGTTGCGAAAAAATTTTGAGCACAACATCAAATAAATTCTGAACATAACACATTGTCAAATTTTTTTGTTGAAATTTCAGAAGATGATACAATGTGTCTGGTACGTGGTAGATGCAATTCCGAAGATACCTGTTGTAGCAAGAAAACCTTTCGTATTACAAGCTTTTAAAAGGCTTATTAATATAATAATTACTATAAAAGGCGTTAAAATTCTTAAGAATCATTACCTAGTTCAATTCATAGAAAGTATTGATATTCTGAGAAGTGGAATCACGCAATTACCAAATATCCAAGAAAACTGGGTCTAAACTGATTGTGTCGTTTTTCAACTAGCCAATCAGGTACAAGAGTGGTTGTTTTTGAATAATGAAAAATGTTTTATTTATAAAACCGCTTTACGAAACATGGTTGGTTGTTTTATAAAAGTGTTTGGTCGGTTACAATGTTTTATTACATGTACCTAATTGTTTCATAAATTAGGTCAGCTATAAAAATTTCTCTGTACATTATAATTAAATATGAAATATTCTTATATATTTACTTTAAAATTAAAAATGAATTGTGTAATATTAAGAATACAAATGTGGTAGGAATATCTACCAAAATGTTGCAGAGGCCACGGATAGCCACGTGGTTTGACATAACATTCAAGACGTCAAAAGTCGCCAGTGGAAAAAAAACTGAGCGAAACGAATTCACCCATTCGACGAAGTTATTTGACGAAGTTAAAAAGAAAATCATTGGACCTTATAAAGAAAGTCTGAAGAAGAAAACGATAGTAAAGCCCCTGAAGGTTATGTAAAAAGCCGACACTAGACTAGAGAAAACTCGATTTTAGTGATTAATCTAAAAATCTCTCACTAAAATAGAGAAATCTCCACCAACAAAAAATGATAGACTTAAACATAAACCTCCACCGATAATTGTGAGCTATAATATTATGTGTGAACTTGTCAAAGGGGATTCAAATGCGTAGATGTCATAAATAAAATTAAAAAAATAAAAGAAAAATGTCAACACATTTTAAAAAGTTGCCCTTTTTCATGTTGTCCTTCAATTATACCGAAAACATAAATAAAATATATAAAATAGAATATCTACAGCACATGAGAGTAAAGTTAAGCCTCTTCGAGATAATAAGTTTCGGGCATTTATAGATTTTGTCAAAGAGGGGCTAAATGTATTAAAATTGCTGGTAATCATACAATAGCTGAGTGTAATAAGAAAGATAATTTTCAGGCCTAATGTAAAACAGCAATGAGGCACACCCTACTGGTTACCGTGACTGCTTAGTGGCTAAAGAATTACAAAAAAGGAGAATAAGAGAAAACGACGTAAAGGACCCCAAGAACGATTGATGCTTTTACATCAAATAAAGTAAAAAAAGATTTTATATACTCACAAGTGGCTTCCCAAATTGCAGAAGATTATGTAGACAAGGGACCTAAGAAAGGCATGAAAACTTAAGAAATTGATAATAAAATGACGCAAAAACCTAAAGAAATTGACAATAGCGTAATGTAAATGAGGCAAGACATGCTAGAAAGAATTGACCAAATCTAAATAAGATTAACCACTATGCAGAATAGCATAGAATACCAACGTATATCTAGCAACCCTGGTACGTGCAACGCTAATGGCGTTAGAGCACGAGTTGGGGATTTTTCTTAGAGTTAAAATTATCTGTGTATGTTGTTAGAAAGACATTGTAGAAGGATTTGAACGTGTTGGGTTATAGATGCTATAGGGAAACTCACTCTGGTAATCAGTCAAGAGGAGGCAGTGCTATTAAGCAAACCATAAAGCATAATGAAGGATCCAAAATGCAGATGGGGAAAGTATAACTTGTTATTGTTAAAATTGAGTCTACCAAGCAGAATTTCATTGTTGATTCAGTATATTGTCTACCAAGATGTAACACAAAGAAAGATAGTTTTAGGCATCTCCTATGCGCAGATGGAAATAGATTCTTAGTGGGAGGTGACTATAACGCCAAACATGTGGGTTGGAGTCCTAGAATGACCTCAACTAAGGACAGGGAATTAAGAAAAACTATTCGAAAATTGGCATGTTACTATCATTCTACTGGCAGTCCGACTTATTTCTTTACTAACGTCAGCAAAAATTCAAGATCACTAATAACAAACAAAAGTCCCAGATCCTACTAAGTTTTTCATATCTTAAAGGATTTCGACAAATTATTTTAACTTGGAACATGACTTTAATTTGAATACCGAAAACCTTTATTGAGAAAATAGCTCTAGAAACTTTAGTCAACAGAACCAAGGATTGGATAGGCTGGAAACATTATGTTCTTAGAAATATAAATCTTACTGCTGAGCTACAAAAGAGATCTAATAGATTCTGAAGTAAAAGATTTTATCAAATTAATACAATACTGGAAAAATGCAAATAATCTGAACTCAAACCTGCATCAAGTAATTATCCTAAGGATATAAATGATTTGGTAGTAGTAAAAAGAAGAGCTAGACGTAAATAGTCGCGTCAAAATTGTAAGAGACGCCTAACAATTGTGAATAGACTTTTTCCATCACGCAAAAGAAGAACAGAATAGATGAGGGATTATTAGCAACTAATGAAACGAATTACTCGTGCTGGAAAGCAACGAGGATTAGTAAGAAACCGATAAAGCGAGTCGCCCCACTAATGTTGGATCGACAAAAAAGTTACAGGAAGCAATTAATGATATAAGTAAATCTTTACATGTAAATTTTAAAAACAAAAATTTAATAAACGCACCACAATGGAATTAGAATGGTGCTAGGGTATCAATCTAACACACAGCGAAATACTTGGCATGACTTTTGATGACAAGCTCAGATGGAAAGAACATGTAAAGTTGAAAACAACAGAATTAGACAACAAATATAGAAAAAACCACTGGCTATAGATCTTAGGTCTAACTTGGCAACATAACATATATATAAGTAAATAATAAAGCCTATGACATAACCCCATAGCTTGCATAGTTGTGCCAAGAAAACACAAATCAAACAAATACAAACTTCCCGGAACAAGGACCTTCATAATAAGGTTAGCGCCCACCGATATAGAAAAGTGAAGAAAATGAGAAACCGTGACATGAAACATAGAATGCGTTTGAAACAACAAGTGAATATCGATGCCTTTTGACTTATAGAAAAGATTTAGAACAAAAAGACTGAAGCGAACAAGGCCTACCGATTTACCTTAAGTGCTGTGTTAGCACTTGCGTGCCTTCCTTCATGGAATGTGACACAAAAATATTTAGATTTTTTAATATTATTGTTGTGAATCCAATACTTCAGTATTCAATGTGAAACATACAGGAGCAAAAATATATTTATATTATAATTATAAAAAACAATTTAAAAAAAAGTAGAATCCAATGTCATGATGAAAATTATTTTTAAGCAATTAAAATTAAATAATTTAAAAATGAACAAATTTTGGTACAATTTTGTTTTTTTTTAATACTACATTAATTCCTTGCTTTGTGACATTTCACTTTGCGACATTTAATATTGCGTCGCAAAAAAATTTTGCATAGTTTTACTTTGCGACGCAAAAAACTTCAGATTGCGACACAATATAAAATATTTACCCGATATAAAATATTTGCAGCCATTAGCAGCTACGTCTATACATCCAACAACATTATCCGACGCAGAATCCCCTTGCATTGATCACCTTTTTTTTGTTTTTCAATCTGTGGCATGGATTGATCAACTTTTTTTTGTTTTTAATTTTGATGATTTTTTTTTTAATTTCAAAAATTAATAAATTGTTGCGTTTTTTTTAATTTGTATCAATTTTTTAAATTCAAAAACATTTAATTATGTTAAATTTATTAGTTATTAAAAATTTGTTTAAATTCGAGGAAGTAGGACTGAAATATGTTCAGTTTTATTTTAACTTTAACGGTTCCTTTGATTTTTTGTGTTAATAAATAAATTTGCAAAAAACTTAAAAATGCTTTAATTTAGAACTGGAACGTATCTTAACCATTTCAGTGTAATTCCATTTTCTCGAATACGTTTTGATTGCGACAAATTTTTTGGGAACCAATTATCGTTGCAAAGCGACGTACTTTAGTCACCAGTTAGTTTCAATTCAATTGAATCAATTCGTTCCGTAGGTATGGAAAAAAATGTAAAATCGGCCCGCAGATCAGTTTTCGAGCCTTATCTTTCCAAAAAATTTAAATGTGCATTACTCTAATACGAAAAATTTAAATATTAAATTTCAATGAAATCGGTTGATTATTTCTCTTTATATACGCAAAAATGTATATTCGGCCCGTAGTAAACGTCCAGTTGCTGACACCTGATTTCTTATAAAATTAGGAGGTTTCGCGGACGGTCGAGCGAAGCTTATATATGGAATTTCAAACAAATCGATTGAGTATTTTCTTCAAAATGGTCAAAAATGTAAAACAGGCCCGCTAAAAAGTGCAATTCCCGATGCCTGATATATCCCAAAAGTTGATCAATCCGTGCCATGGTCGAAATAAACTTACATATAAAATTTCATCAAAATCGGTTCAGCCGAACTTGAGATACACGCGTGCACCCACAGACCGGCAGACCGACAGGTTGCTAAAAATAGTTTATTTACACTTCCCTACTATGGAGAAGTGTATTCCCATCGAAAACTCGATATGCAAAATTTGTTGCCATCACATAACCTACCTATTATATACACAATACGCTCGGTAAAAATAATATACGACTCACTGCGAATAAATAACTGATCGGATATACTGTTTACCGCAGCATGAAAATTGCGTTGGCAGAAACAATAAAAGGAAACTATGTGACCATTAAAGGCTTTGCGTACCAGTAATACTCGTGGTTGTAGATGAAGTAAGGAATTAACGTAACAGAAAAGCTCCCCGAAGTCGAGGATGCCAAACAATGAAAGAAATTTTAGCGCTAAGCCTGTGGACTGCCAGAATACTATCATGCGGTGTATAGATAGTTCTGGTTGAGTAGACATAATCGTGCTTTTTGTACCGCGTCATAAAGAAATAGAAAGCATCATTTATTAATAAGAAAAGACCCCTCTATACAAGTGCAGTACACATTTGTAGTATACGGCCAGATATTCTTTAAAAGAAATAATGAATTAGAAAAGATTCAGTTGTAGTACAGGTAAAATACTTCTTGCTTAAAAGAGACTACTGAAGCGAAAACTACTAAATCAAACATAAAGTTGAAATTCGATACAACTCTTCTCTAGATCTGTAGATTGAGCGAAGAGAAAATTTTTAGGCAATCTAAGAAAATCCAGAGACAGCCTAATCAAACTCTGTTTGTTGACTGGTTTTAACTATTTTGTATATATAACGTGTATTTAAAATTTATGATTTTATACTTACGATGAACATTCGCATCTTCTTCCGTAATACTTATCATAGCATTCGCATACACCGCATTTATATGTTCCTTGCGAATTACACTTTGGTGACTTAAGCTCAAACATCTTATGCCCTTGACGTTCGCAATCGCAACTACATAGCATTTCCAAATCAACAATCAAACTTTCATTTATACCTACGGGATATATTTGGAAAGTTTGATGCCACTCAGCTGGATTTTCTGGACAAGATGTGACAACAATTTCAGCAGTAAAACTAACTATATCCCCTACTTTGAGTTTATCGCATTTATTTGTTTCTGTTGGTTTCGAGTTATCTAGACATGCTGAATAATATTTAATTTTTATTGATCCAGTGGCGTTATCTTTCATTTCAATAGCTGATGTAATTTTCTAAAAAAAAAAAAATATATATATAAAAATGTATTTTCTATAGCAATAATAATAAAAAAAGTAAGGTAATAATAAGTTAATAATAAAAAAAGTAGAAAGTAACCTCTGGAAGGTTTTTTTTAAATCAATTTTTTAATGTTTTACTAACACAAAACTTTAAAAATGTAAGCACTAGTAAATAAGAAAAAGATAGAATTTTCACTTTTTCTAATCGAAAACTTGAAAAAAATTTATCTTGTGGGAGATTTATGATGTTAAAAAGGGCCCTCTATAGATCCCATAAGAATACGTGTAAATTCGTCAGCTGTAAACTGTAACTCTCTCTTAGGATCCAGGCCCGTATTTCTGTAAGCCATGGAAACCCCACAAATGGTGTTTGATATCAATAAAAGAAAAAAAATTATAAAAATAAATTTACATAACAGAAAATGTGCTAGCAAAATGTTTAAGAATGTATTTAATGAAAATAGTTTGCTCGTTTTGGGACAAGTATTAGCCTCTCTAGGTTAATTCATAAAAAACATTAATTTTACAATCTTTAAACTGCCAAAAATAATAAATTCAAATAGAGGAAAAGTTAAAATTTTATCACAATTAGTTAGATATCACTTAATATGCAATACTAATAAATACTATACAAGTAATTTTCAAATATTCATAATATTCGATTCCAAAGACTAGCAAAAATAAACAGTAAATATTAATAAACTGAAATATTTAATATAAATAAAAAAAAAAAAACTACAGTAGGCTAGTCACCTACCTAGCTAACTCTCTATGACTATAGAAACTAGGGCATGATAGATACCATGCATTAGCCCTATACTCCTCCTAGGAGTGAAGAAGGAAAAAAAAAAAAAGTTAGATATCACAAAGGTCCAATACTTTCAGGGAGGGCATTCAGGCTTACGCAAGACGCTGGGTAAGTTTAAATACCAATTTTAATGGAAAAATATGAAAAATGACGTTTTTAAATACATATATCAAAAATTGTGAGAAATGTAAATTAAATAAACTTTGTATTAATTTGAAACATCCAATGATTCTAATACCTACGCCAGACTCTAGTTTTCAAATTGTAGAATAAATACGGTAAGACCCTTTCTTGTAATTGAACAAGAAATAGGTACGTTGCAACAATGCAGCGCCAATTGACTAAATATATGATTGGTGTACTACTGCAAAATAAGGAGGCGAAAACAATAGCCATTTTCAACGAAAGTATTTGAAACTGATAAATGTACAAAATATGTTAATAGTTAGATCGGAGAATCGATTAAAGTATTTAAAATCGAAAAAAATTTTCTACTTCTTATCACCATCAAACCATGGAAACAATTGAAAGAAATCACAAGGAGTTAAATAATTATTTTAGGATGTATATTTGAAAGATGATGGACAATTGGGACCAATGAATAAAACTTTATACATTTTGTTACAATTCCACACCAAAAACATAACTACACACCATTTGAATTAAATTTCAGTAAATTTTTGGAACTTGTAAGATGATTTTAATTTGAATTCCGGTCACTCTGTTGCTATATTAACCCTTAGTAAGAAAACTACTAACAAACGAAGTGTACCCACTTTAGCCAAAAAAAACCACGGATTGTGTAGACTTCAGACATGATATTATTAGAAATATAAGTCTTTATGCTGAACTGAAAACTAGAGATCAACTAGATTCTGAAGTGAAAGGTTTTATCAAATTGATACAGAAAGAAAAAATAAGAAATTGATTCTAAACTATTAGTTTGGTTTTAAAACAAAACATTGACCAATATTGTGAAAAAGGCGTTAGGAGGAACAAATATATTCTACAATAATTCTGGGCTTGACCTAGGCGTTCGATAAGGTAACGGAAAACTAATGGTTAGTCAGTTTGACTAATTTTAGGAGTATACGACCTAATTATTAATAGGTTCGATGACAGTTTGGGTCCACCTATATGACAGTTTGGTTGTCTTTCGATAATTATTGACACCTAAAAAAAATGAGAAAAAAAAATTGTTTAAAATTTGTTTTTGGATCATAATTTGGATATTAGATTTAGATGTCATCAATTATTGTCACCTAATTTGTTTTTGGTTATATACGTATTTAATAATTTAACAAACCAAAAATATTGCATTTATTCAATTCTATAACATTGCCACCTAATTTGTTTTTGGTTAATGATAATTAATGACAACCAAAAACAAATTAGGTGGCAATGTTAGAAAATGTTAGAAATCTTAAAAAAGAACACAAAACAAGAATCGATGTAAGGGTATATCGACAAAAAAAGCGATTCCAACAATTCAATTTAAAATTCACTTCAAAAACTCAGTTTAAAATTACAAAAGTAATAAAAATGTCTTTTTTGAAGAAATTTAGTACATGACTTTTCATATACTAAACAAACTAAAAACACAAAATCAAATTTCGTTTCTGAAAAAATTATGTCAGAAAGATAATGCAAACTAAATGCAAAAACACAAACATTGTCATATGAATAAAGTTGTAAAACTTGATTTTTATAGATTTTGGTTTTGTAACTTGAATAAAAATCGATGTCACTCTTCTAGTTTTGTTCACGAGCAGTGTTGCAAAATCGTGGGAAATTTTCCATTTGAAGGAATTTTTAACCCTTGAAGGGAAAAGGCAAAGGGGCCAAAAACCGTGGGGATTTCCGTTGAAACTTTTCATTAATATTTCAGCTATTTTTATTATTATTTCTATTTTCTTTAATTTACTTATTTTAATATTAACTGCATCCACAAACTGAAAAACACGAATTCTGTGGGAGCTGATATATAAATGAAGGTTATTAACGAATGTTTGATTGAACTAGTACATCCTTAAAAACACATGCTTTTCCTGATGACCTAAAAATCAACAAAAATACTATGCACTTATAAAATTGGACAAGGATAAAATACAGAAAATAATCGCCCAATTTCAACATCAATTATTACAAGCAAAGTTATAGAAGCGATAGTTAATAAACAAATTAATGAATATTTAAATAATTGGAATTTGTTCAGCAACAGGCAATTTGACATGATGGTCGTAATTGAAAAAACTTAAAGGACAAAAAAAATTTTTGTATTATTTTCTGTACAAAGAAAGAATTGAAGTCGACATATTGATGAAATAACGAAAAGATGCCGCAGAATTATACGAGCCTAATACTTCAGTTTATTCCAAAGCATACAAACTTTGTATAGCATACAAACTTTGTTTAGGGGAATGAGTTCAAAGCAGAATGTAAAAAAGGTACAAACGCTACAAAATAAGGCTATAAAGAATTTATACAAACTTAAAATGAGAACGCCAGCTGAAAGTATATATAACATAAAATTGATTAAATAGCAGTTAAAAGCAATATAAATAGAGCACATATATCAAATAACATATGGGATTTTGCATTCAAACATGGTACTACAAGAAATGCGAATATGTTTAGGAACTCAGGGCAAGGGATGAGCAACATATTTAATGAAGCGATCATACAATAAAATAATATTTCACAAAGACGGATGCAATTACAAAAAAACGAGAAAAAAAAATAGAGTTGACCTTGTCAACTCTGTGATACCTTTACGAATTTGTTATCCTATGTGCGAATAACTAATGTGCCATAACTAACTAAGGGGCAGACTATGACTTTAAGTTGCCGTATTACCATATTAATTTATGCAAAATTTCAGTACTATGTGTTATTCAAAATACTGTGTGTGCCAAACTACTATTGAAGTTGTATGGCAGCTACCAGAAAGAGCCAAGAAATTTTAGCGAATTTTATCAAGCACATCGGCCCTACTAATGTATTCACTTGTGTGAAATCTCAATATCACAGCTTTAATAGTTTCTGAAATATAGTCAAATAACTTTTGAAGTTGTATGGCAGGTACCAGAAGGAGCCAAGTAATTTCAACGATTTTTATAAGACACATTGGCCCTACTAATATATTCGTTTGTGTGAAATTTCAATACCACAACTTTTATAGTTCCTGAGATATAGCCAAATAAATTTTGAAGTTGTATGGCAGCTACCCGAACCGGTACCCCGATCATGTCCAATTTAAATAGGGTTCTGGCACTTACTACAATAAATCATTTGAGAAAATTTGGTGAACTTAGCTCAATTAGTTTTTGAGTTATCGTTCGGACGGACGGACGGACAGATAAAGCTAAATCAACTCAGAATTTGACGCTGATCAAAAACATACACTTGAGTCTATATCTAACACCGTTATTTCTAAGCGTTACAAACGGTAAGGCAAATTTAGTATACCCTTCGAACATACGTTCGTACGGGTATAATAAATAAAGTTGGGTCAAACCAATGGTTTGTATTGTAGCACTTTTCCCTTCAACAAATGAAAATTTTGCTTTTAAATACAGTCTATGTAGTCTATGTACCTATCACACTATTAAAATTATTTTCATTCATATACAAAACTATTTCTAGGGTTGCATATATTTAGGATGAATGATTTATGCAGTCTTTGAAATAAAGCAAAAATTAGTATAAAGTGGGGTTAACATAATGCTCCATTTTAAGGTAAGAAATTTGAAAAAGCTTGCGGTTTCGGAAATATAAGGTGTCAAAAATTCAAATTTTACAAATTTCAAGAGGCGATAACTTGAGAGGGGGTGGAGATGGAAAAAAATTTTCTTCTAGCGAAATGAACTATTTGATAATGTCTAGAAGCTCCTAAAATTTCAAGCTTCTTGTAGTTTGGAAAAAAAACGACATCAAAAATTTGCAAAAAAAGGACTTTAGATAACGGTAAATTTGAACGGCCATTTTGTTTTTCTAAAGTTCAAATATAGTATGCCGCGCTAGGGGAAGCAAGCCGCTGCTTTTCTGTGTTTGCAAAATTTCAAAAATGCTTATGGTTTCATTGCAACAAATAGTTAAAAAAGGCCATTTTTAGGGTTTTGGGGGGGTATAACTTCTAGAGGGGAGGAGATAGGTAAAAATTTTGTTCTACACAAATAAGTTTCTAGTAAAGATCTATGTACATATAAAATTTCAGCTTTCTATCTTCAAGGGTGTAGAAGTTTTGTAAACAGACACACGGACAGACGGACGGACGGACGGACGGACGGACGGACAGAGTGAAACTAATAAGCACTTTTTTTCAAAAAATTTTTGGAAAAGTGCTAAAAAAGATTCTTTTATGATAGATTCTTTTGACAATAATTTAGAAATATCTTACCTTGTAAATATAAACGCTTTCTTATTTATTTGTATTTATTTATATTTACTTTCTTATTTATTTATATCGTATGATTTGTTTTTTGCATTATCTACTTAACTTGTTACTTCTTTTAAACCTAATTGTTTAACTCATATTCATTATTTTCACCGTCCCATTGTGTGTTACATATATATTATCTTGATTTTTTTGCTTTTATTGTTTTTATTTTTATGTAACAAATACTTTTTTTTCTTTTCTACATTTGAATTATATGTTTTTTTGGGGCGTAGATTTTCAAAAAACCAAGGTTAAGAGCAAAAAAAAAGAGTAAAGAAATTTTGAACAATTATACTCGTGTGTTAATATAATACATATACCCTCTGTATGAGCAAACATATAACTAGGCTCCTTTTGAGAAATGTAATGAAATAAAAAAAAATATATCTTTTTTTTATGTTTACAAAATGCATGATTTTGACACTCTTTCAAAAATAAAAAGTTCTATTATATATTTTGAAGCCCTTAAGCTGATATAGTATTTTGTATATTACAATTTGAAAGTACCTGTTTAAGTTAAAATTATTAATTAAGTTATACAATTGAATAAATGCAATATTTTTGGTTTGTTAAATTATTAAATACAATGTTAGATGTATGTGAATAAATAAAAAGTTTCTTAAAAAATTATATGAGAAAAAATAGGATTTGAAAATTGAAAAAATTGGAATCTTTCAACTAGGGGTGATAAATTGAGCAAAAAGAGTTGACAAAGTTCTTGGCGTGTTTCGAAAGGGTTGTGTACGAATCCTTTGAACGTCCTTTTCAAAAATGGCAATAAAAAAATCAAATTAATGCAGAATCTACTTTCAATCAATTTTAAAATATGATCAGAAAATGATTAGTTATATATATTATGGCATATCTATATACCAAATTCGTTCGAATTCTAATGGAAATATATTTTTTTTACTTTAATTAAAAAAGACTTCGATTTTAACAAATTTTAAAATGAAATATGTGCCACTGTTAATTACATAGATATGGTTAAATTTTAATTTAAGAACTATTAACATAGGAATATTTAACAGCTACTTTATTATCATTAGTTAAAAATTAAGAACGAAAAATTTCCATGCAAACAACATTATCTATAAAAATTTTTCCATCATCAGTTTTCTCTTGACGAACTGTATCTTTTACATGAATTTTAAAGAATTGAAATATTATTGTCTTTGAACATGGTGTATATAATTGCGCATATGAAAAGCATAGCTGGGAAGATATAAGCCGACATTATCAAAAGTCTTTCCTTCGCACTTATATATTATACGACGATACCGAACAAAATTAATAGGAATAACCGGGTCGTTTGATATATCCACAGATATTGCAGGGATAAAATTAGCGCGTCCAAAAAATGCACGATTAATAATTTCTAGTTGACGTAATAATGTTTTGACGAAAATCTAATTTACAATCATTCTAGTTCCATTGCACAATCCTTCATTTACTGATAGATTTCTTAGTAGCATTACTAACCAAGAAATTGAAAAAAATTTTGAACAGAATTAAGTTATAGATTAGCTTCGATTTGAATTTCTGAACAGTATGGACCATACTTAAATATTTTTAATTTTAACTTTCGAAGAGAATGCATTCGCATTATTGTATTGCCTTAAAAAAATTTTTTTAACGGAACGGGAAAGTTTACTTTTTATTCTTTTTTTTTTGTTTAATTTATTTACCAATTATTGAGTACACACAAAAAAGCTATAATTCAAACATGGCCAAACTGCGGCTCGCGAGCCGCATGTAGCTCTTCAACCAATTTCATGCGGCTCTCGAAGAAAAAATTAACAAATATTTTTAATGCAGCTCAAGTCGAAAAAAAATATTCCCAAAAAAGGTTTTTTTATAGAAATTTGACTAAAAGTAAAAACGCAGTAGAGTATATCTTTTCCCACACTTTTTAATTTTGTCAACGCTTACTTAACATATGGAAAAATAATTTGTATATATTGTCAAAGCTTAAATTCTTAATCACTCAATTTAGATATGCAGGGTCAGCAGAAAACTATTTCTGATCTCACGCAAACAATCTTTAGTTTTCAAAAAAAATGCTACTTTTTAAAAATGATATAATGTCAATGAATTTCAATCATTTTCCGAGATTGAAAGAAAAAGTCGGAAATAGAAAATGAAAAGCTTAAAGAATATGTGGATAGATTGCAGGAGTTGTTGGTGAATTTCAATTTACGATTTCAAGATTTAAAAAAATTTAAAATTTGTATAAATTTTCTTGTAAATCCATTTGAAATTGATATTATTGGTGAAGACTTCATATTTCCACAATATTTACTGAGTAAGTTAATTTCAATGTTCGGCATAACATATTGCTGCGAATCATTATATTCTACAATCAAATTTATTAAGTCCAAGCACCGGTTGCAGCTAACTAATGAACATTTGACTGAGCTTATACGTACGGCATTCACAAATTATAAGCCAGATTTTCATAAATTTGTAATACACACCAAGCCACATGTGTCAACCAGTAAAGTATAAAAATATCATATTTTTTTCTTTAATTCTAACTCTTTTTCATTTGTAGGACTAAGACATTTTTAACCAGATATTACATAATTTATAATTTATATCATTGCGGCTCGCAAAAAATTCAAAATTTTGAGTTTTGGCTCTTACCATGACCAAGTCTGACCACCCCTGCTATAATTCTTTTTTTATTCTTTTATGTTTTTCATTTTCTTTTTTGTGTTTGTATTTCTGTTTGTTATACTAATGCCTTTATATCTAAGAAGTCCCAATGCTCAGAGAGAAACTTGAAAGCACGACCTTATTTTATATGGGTTTTTTTTAAATCGAAGTGGCTATTTTTTGAGAAGAAATATTAAAATAAATTCACACTTATTATAAAGCAGGTAAAATTTAGAAAATATATTTGAAAAATATATTAATATTTTCATTGATAAAAGAACAAGCACAACCTTCGCCTTCAACGTTTTATATGTTACTGAAAGCATTTAATTATTTTTAAGTGAACAGATTTTTTTTCTCATAGGGTAAGTTAACTCAAGATATGGGGAGTAACTGTGGTGTCAAGTTGAAAATATAATTAATGAAAGATAATTCTTACATATTGATATAAATACATAGTAAAGAAAAAATTTGAAGAGAAATTAGAAAATAATATCTAAAATGCAATCAAATATTATTTTTTAAATACAAATTTTATAAAAAATTCAAAATTTTACCTCTATTTTTATTTGAAAAAATATTTAAAACTTACTATCATTTATATCAATTACCTAAGAAAAAAATATTTAAAATGTTTGGAAAAAACAATCATATATTTTTATGACCGGATTTGAATATTTTTCTATTTTTGAAATAAATGGTATTTTACCAAATGACTCAAAAATTCTGACTGTAAAATAACAGGTATTTTAAAATTCTTTCGTTTAGAATTAAGATAGGTCATACATACACATGCAGGGACATTTTATAAATGGATTGCTCTTGTTTACCTGCTAATAAAATATGAAAAAAGAGCACAACAAAATTTTTGAAGCTCTCAATATAACGTGTTTGAAATAGTTTTAAAATAATTATTTAAGAAGAAATTTATTGGAAGTAGGTACATGCACACATATTTATTTTTAATAACTTAAAAACTAACTGAAATTATTTGAAACAATTTTATAAGTAACGTATAAATAACCGAAATGAGATAATTCAAATTGTTGAAATGTGTCAACCTATATTACTTTTATTAACATTTTTGTTAGCCGACACTACTCAACTTATCTTATTGGGAAATACAGAATGTGCATAAAAAATCATACATCCTCCCTCATTAACATTTGAAACCATACTGAAATATGAACTTGAAATTTTTTTAAATTTTTTCTTTCCTCCTACTTTTCTTTCTTTTTCGTGCAATAGAATTTAAATGGGAAGTTTTTAAAAATTGTGTATAATATCCTGAGATACTTCAAAATATTAAACTCTTTTTTACGTAAAAAAAAAAAAAATAATAAGAAATATGGCACGATCAGTGGCATTGAAAGAAAAAAACAGGAACGAAGTCAAAAATTCGTAATATTTCGTAAAAAAAATTGAGTATTGGGACTTGTTAGATATAAAGACATTAGTTATACGCATAAAATATCCGGAAAAGAAAAAATCTTGCAAAATATAGCATAGATAGTTTTGAAATTGATTAGATCATAATATCAACTTGTAAAGAAAATTTTACGATATATAACTTACGCTATATTCTTCTTTTACTAATTCAACAACATTTGATGAATCATTGGACAAAGTTGCGCATGAAGAGCCTTCTATTTGTTGCGAAAGTTTCTCATAGACATCTCTTTGAGTGGACGTTACCGCAAATATGATATTTATAGCGTTCTCTTTTACTTTTTCATTGATTTGTGAAATGCTCGGGTAATCCAGTATGGTTGAATGTGTGTATGCGTTGCGTTCTAAATGACATAAACCATCGTTCGGTTCAATGACACCTCCAAGCTTTGTATTGAAATAGTTTATTATTTTTAAAGAAATCAATTACCAAAGTAAGTTTACCTTCCCATCACCAGCGTAGTGAAAACCAGCGTCAGTTGAAAAAACTAGCAGACGGCGAGCCTCGTGGCGCCAACCAATTTGTTGACGACATACAACAGCTTGCATAATAGCATCGAAACCGCCTTCGGGAGCATCCAAGTTTCCAGAAACTGCAGCTTTGCGAACTTCTTCCTGCATATTTGTATCCGAATTCAAACATTATTTTAACATAACTGATGTAACAGAAGAGATGTTTTTAATATACTTTTACATATTTTTGTATTTTGCCGAAAATATATCTACAATACTAATCAAAATCCATTTTTTATAATATAATAGATAATATAATTGATATAGTAGTTGAAATTTTATATCAACTTCTTTTTTTGCATTGATCGCTAGTTTATCGTTACTAAAGAATAATTTTGTATCTCAATTTTGGAAACCAAATTTCCTATATTTTTAATTAGATAGTCTCATATATTCAATTAACTTTTCAAATTTTGTTAAATGTTAAGGAACTTCTTGAAATGCTGATTAGGCTATTAATCAAAATAATGCGAATTTTATGTACTTTTGAAGAAAGTGATAACACTCGCACAGTGTCTTCTTATTTTATTAGCAAAAAGGTGAATATCTATGACGTTATTGTGGACATAAATATTTTTCTCTTTCTAAGAAATAAATATTAAACAAACTCTTATTTGACAAAAGGTTGGTGACAAAAAGTACGAATTTTAATTTTTTTTAAATACAATATGTAATTTAATTTTTTTATTAAAACAGCATTTTTCTTCTTTTATTATGATTAACACTGTAGATATCTTCTTAACACTTTGTTTGCAATCAAAAATATGTACAAGTTTTAAAAATAAATTTTAGAATTTAGATTTTTAAATTACATTAACAAATTTATTAAAGAACAATATACATAGGTTAGTATTAGAAAACCAATCATTATTAAAGAAATGAAAACAGAATAAGTATTTTGTTTTTGAAGCACAATCAAACTTTAGCCAATTTTAACGAAAACTTTATTACACACTCGTTTAGCAGAATATTTGTTGGAACATATATATACCGTTATGAATAAAATATAATAAAAAAAAACTATGTTTTGTTCATAAAAAGTTCAGATTTATTTGAAAAACTTACAACGAAATATGTTCAAGCTCTTACAACTTGTAATACATTTTAATATGGAATTGCAATGATTTCCTAATTTTTTGCGCTATAAACCCAAAATAATTCAATTTTAAATTCATTTACTATTATTCATACAATTAAATTTACTAGCACAAAATACAAAAATACTGTTATTTTTAAAAACTTGGGAGTATGTATTTCCCAAGTTTCGAATTCTGGAAAAATATTCGTTTAGTGCACAAAAAATAAGCTGAATTATTCTTTCAAATATATCTGATTTTTTTTATATTATATTTTTTATATTTTTAGACAGAAATAATTTCTTTATTCAGGATTTTTGTGGAACGCTTAACTATTATTAAGTTTATAATTTAATTTTAAAGTTATATCTATAATTACACACTATTTAATAAAAGCTATTATTTGTTTTATTGCGTTGATGTTTTACATTGTTTTTTCACTATATAAAACATTAACCGTTCATTTCCGGAAGACCCAAGTTAATAATTCTTAAATTATGTTAAATGTAGTTATTCAAAAGTTATTTACGTCAATGTAACACTTACAGTTTTCAAGAGAATATAATTAAGAATTACAATAGCCTTGTTCTAAATAAGAACATTTACAGTGACAAAATTATGTAATTAGATTTATCTGAGCATTCTCTTTATTATATTTCACTATTAAAAAGCTTTTTGTCTGAAAAAATCAACATCTTTGAAATATACTTATACATGAAAATTTATTTCACGTCTTTTAAGAAGTAAATGGAAAATGTCAAATCTTACTTAGTTGATTATCAACATACTTAAAAGATCTATTTATAAAAATACTTAAGGAAGAACACTGTATTTTCATTCAATTAACATTTCTTTGGTTATTACAGTTTTCTCCCAATGAACAACTCTTCATACATTTTGTATGAATTCCGAGACGATTCTTTGGTTCTCGAATAAAAAAATAACAAGCAATTATTGAAATGATTTATAGCATTATCTTATAAATTATAAGATAAAAATTAAAAAAAAAACTATTGTAAATTAAAAAACGTGTATTAACCAATTTTATCTAACTGTTGGTTTTGCACTATTTTGTTTTGATACGATAACTTTCTTAAAAATTCACGAGAATTACACTCAAAATGTTTTAAATTTAGAATGCAGAATAATAAGACTTAAGAAAGATAAAAACGCTTTCATAAGCGATTTATTTAACAAAAAAAAAAAAAATCGTATTATTAAAAATTTATCGATGCGTAAATGGCTCATATAATTATTTTTGAAAAAAAAAAATCAAACTTTATTAAAATTTTTACTGTAAGTAAAGGCTTTTAAAAATTTATTCTTTTAAAATTCTGCATAGTCTATTTTCAAGAAAACTACTTTTAGCATTAAAACGACACAGATATATTTAGTATACTTTAAAAATTTTAACACCACCTTCATAATATAAAAAAATTTTAGATGGATAAGTATATTAAAAACATATGTGTAATAGAAAAAGGCAATCTAAATCTGCACTCTAGGTGAGTATGTATATTAAATTCTTTATTAAATTCACAAACCAAAGGCTTAACATTATTTTAACATTATTAAAAAAAAAAAAAACAAAGACCTAGTTTTCCGAACTATGACGACCTAAATCAAAATATAATTTTATTCAAAAATAATTTTCTCCTTGTTTCTTAAAATGATCACAAGGATGAAAATTTTATTTTAATCATACTACAAAAATATACCAAAATGTTCGAAATAAATTTTTTTTTTTTTTCTATACTTTGTACTTGAAAAACTTCACATTTTTCAATTTCCTTGCATAAAAACAATTTTTATGGAATAGAAAATATGCCTATTACAGTTATATTCCTAGCAAGCTTTTATTTTTCATTATTTCCCTTTAATTATAGGCATGGGGAATACGTCAAGAAGTTTAGTGAATCTAACAGTTTGACGTTATATGTAACGAATTCTACAAAAAACCCAATTTCAGAAAGGTATAAAAAATTCTATTGTGACAGTTTACTTTAAAATATTGTCTACATTGTAGTGTAAAAAAAAAATGGACCAATAAATTCATTCGCCATAAGTAATACTGAATGATACTTCGCCAGATAAAGAATTCAAGAAAATTACGTTGCATATTAAACCTGAAAAATATGAGAATAATAAAGAGTACCCACAAGAAGCATTTAATAGAAAAAGTGAATATTTATGTGGGTTGTCGTTACATTTTTGCGCTGAATACAAGCCGTTTATTTTGAAAATGGCATAAGTTACTTTTTCAAAAAAATCGAGTTAATGGCAACACTAAATACAATTGAACAGTATCTTTTCATTCAATATGTTGAGAACTATTGAGATTTGTTCCAGAGAAGTTTTGATATTAGTTTTGGATTAACGGTATAACAAACATGTTTATTTTGAAAGTGGCGTAAGTTGCTGTACTCGGGAAATTAATTATGGGGTTTAGTGTGAAAGAATAGTGTGTGACATGTTATGTGTGTGTGAAGTATTGTTTTGAACTATTTTCAGTATCTTTAAAGAAGTTGTGATCATTGGACTTATTTTCATAAGTGCGAAAGAATAATGCAGTTTTGTAAATTATATTATAGTGACATCTAATATAGTACACATAATTAACATTATTCTATTAAAATTACTTTTATATGATGTTATCGGACAGCGAATTAGGAAAAACATACATAAAAATTTGAAACAAAAACGATTTCCGAGGACTTAACCACTCCTATTGATGACGAAAATTAAATTGGTCTGATATATTTTCATATAAATTACTTATACTTACATAATATGTTTCTAAATGAACTAATTATTTTTGTATTTAATGAATATTAAACAAAATAATACTTAAATCAAACCTTTATATTAAATATGTTGATGGTATGAATTATTATTATATATGTAATTTATTCAACAATTTTAGTAAGTCACGGCCTTTTCAAAACGTCACTTCAGTAAAATACGTCGAACGAAACATGAGTCAGTCATTTTTCTAAACTATTTATTTTGAAAGTGACTTAAGCCACTTTACCGTACTGAAAAGGGGTGATTTTTAAATGTTTATACAAATAAATATTTTGAAGTGAATTAAATTCTTTTTTTCTTTAGTTCTAGCTATTAAAATATTTCATCTTTTTCAATAAAAATGATCCCCGCACAAATTTTTAAACTGATATTTGCATAATACTCGTATGTATTATGTTGTTTGATACGCGATGAAATTCTTTTTTAGAACTTTCGATTTTTCATTTAATTTTTGCTAACTTTTTATTAGTCTCTTTAAAAAATCCAGCTATTTTTTTTTCTATATATATACGCTAATGCTTCTTCCAGAGGCTCTGATCTGAGAAAAAACCGCCAGATTGTAGAAAAATTTTACTGAAAAATTAGTACCAATGCGTCAAAGTACCAGTAAAGAGCCTATATAAAATAATACAAAATAAGGATTTTATTATTTAAATAAAAATCATTTGAGTTGTTCTAACCAATGTTTTATAGAAAAAAAAAATCAAAAATAGATTTTTGCAGTGACTTTTTTTACCGATACGAATTTGTCTCAAAGTACTAATATATTTTCGGACCGCATATTTACCCGGTTTCTTGAATTCAAAAGAAAATCATGCAAATTCATTACGCATTTGTAGTAGGTCTTTTGAATTTAAAAGAATTCAACGATAATAGAGAAAAATCTTTACAAGAGAAGCATAATTGTGAATGTTTAAGCAAAAAAATGAATTTAATTATCAAAGATTTGGTACACTTACCACTTGCAAATACAGGCGGGTTATACTAAAACGCGCTATGAAAGAGAGAGATAAAAAGGTAATTTTTCGAATTTAAGTAAAAATAAAGTCAATTCTATAGATAAAAACGATATTTCAAACTAATGAAATGTAGTAAATGCGGATAAGTGAATCTCCATTTTTTTTGTTTCTTTTTTGAGGAATTTTGAATACTTTAAGAAAAACTATATGTTTTGAAATTTTATGATTCAGAAGGAAATTAAAATTTCAAGTTTGAATTTTAATAAAGACACCAGCCTAACTTCAAAAAATTATTCAAGGTATTAAATATGAAAATTTAGAAAGATAGGAAAAGACACAGAAGGATTGTTGTGAGTTGTTGGTGATGAATTTTAAGAATACAAGTTCTTTATAAAATACAATAAGAGTTGTGAAAAGTATTTTCTTTCTTCACAAATAATGGTTTGATTAAGACACTATTTTAATTTTATTGCTACCATGCATTTAACTATAATTTATTTTTAGTTACACTAAGTTACACTTTCAATCCTTTAGTTTCCAAATAATTGTTTTCTATAGTTTTAGATCGTTATAGTTTGGAAAAAAGAAAACAAAATTTTTATAATGTACTTACATCTATATATGTAGGTTGAAAAAATAAATAAGATTTTATGAAAGGGTAATTTTTTTTTGCAGAAACTAAACTTACAGAAAATGAATCAGTATCCGTGTTTAAAGCCATTATATGACGATAACCATATGGAGCAGCGCAGCCTGTACAAGGTTCTTGTAAGCTTAAATGATTAATGATATGATATTTTTGTTTATTTTTTACATAAAACTTATAAATGCATTTATGGTTACTGTATTGATCATCATTATACAATCATATATGTAAATAAATTTTTTTCATAAAAGACAAAGTGCTTTTTATTCCACAATATTTGACATTTCTACATGCGATTTTTCATGTGATGAAAACTGTAGGACTAATAGGAACTAATAGAAATACTGTAATACTTAAATTTTCAACGGCAGAATGTTTAATGTTATAACGATTCTAATTCAAAAAAAAAAAGCTTGAAACGTAGATCTTGGAAAACTTACTGCGAATAATTGCAATTTATTGTATAATTGCATAAGTTTTACGTGCGAAAAAGACGCAGATTAAGCAATGTGAAAATTAAAAAGTTGGCTTGTGTATGGAGTAATCGTTTACTCAATTGGCAAATAGTTAACAGCACAGCCTCTACTATATAATGAAATGAATTTGTAAATATAAAATATATCTCAATAAGTTCTATAAAAAATGTGCACGTTAAATTCTTGATTTCTACATTTAAATTGAATCGTAGCAATGATAAAATATAAATATGAAATTAAAAGTTTTTAAACAAATTTAATTACTTCAAATATGTTTCTAAGAAAAATTCATAAAATTTACAAATTAATAACAAAAACTATAAAACCATATTGTGATAAGAAAGAATTTTATCACTGTTACTTTTTTCATACCTAAGAGTTTGTAAATTTTCACACTATGTGACGCATATTTTGATAACATGGCATTTATAGCGTCCTTGTGTATTTAAATATTATAGCCACTCTTTATTGATCGCTATCGAATGAAAAAGCTGTTTTAATTTTACTCTATATATTTTATTAAATTCTCATCCAATTTAATGTAGGTAATTTTTAGGATTTTTGAAAATCCTAAAAATCAAAAAATAAAATATGGCGAACTACTATTCCCAGCAAGATCAGAAATTTTCTAAGTCAGACTTCATAATTTTTTGTCAACAACATATTTAAGTTTTAAAATATCGACTCAAGTTGTACCCAGTTATACATAACACTAAAGGCATATTTTCAGTTGAATATATTTTCAATAGAATGTGGAAAATAAATTGACTAACACGTCATTTTATACAAAGTTTGTTGTACGTCTATTAATATAACTTTAAAATAAAAATGCGTATTCCATTTTACAGTTTTCGATTCAAACTGGTTCAGCAATAAAATCTGCTCCTCAAGTTGATAGTCATTATCATGAAATTATGCAAACAATTTGAAACCCTCGCATTTATGAATTGGATAAAATCAACTGTTTTATTCAGTAACTCAGTTTTATTAAATTGCATAGACCCATTTATTTACAATATTGCATGCAAATTATAATTGCATAGAACCAACCTTATTTATCAACGAAAATCATTTATTTCCTAGTTATTTTTTAATTCAGTTTATGTAAGTTATACTTTTTGTCTTTATAAAAATGCAAATCGGAAAAAAATAATATTGCATTTTTCATAAATATTTTGAAATATTTTATAAAGAAAATATGTATGTATATTATACACAAAAGAAAATTCATTAAAAATGCTTAAATCTAAACACAAATACTACATATAATTCAGCGACGGATAGAAATGAAAGAAAAAAATGCAAGTACATAATGAAATAAGAAAAAATTAAAACACAAATGATATAATATACTATAATAATAAGTACTTAATAATATAATTTTAAAGCAAAAATTAGTACGACCTCAAATCTATAGCGAATAAAATACATAAATTTTGAAAAAAAATTAAAATTATGCAACTAATAAAATGTACAAATAATTTCTTACGGAAAATGTACGTGTATCAGTGCTAAGAGCCATATGATTTTTGTAACCGTAAGGAGCTTCACAGCCATCACACGGATGCTCCAATCTTATTTTTATGTAAAATTATTGTTTTTATTTTAGCATATATTAAAAAAATTTTTTTGTCGGTTAACACATCCATAATTTTTAAAATATAAAAAAAAAACAATAATTAGCAAATTTTGAATAAAAAAAAATCGGTGCTTACCACTACGGGTAAATAGTAGAAAATATTAGCTTTTTTTCCTTTTCTTAGAACTTAATCGCAATAAATTAATATATTTTTGAAAAAAAATTTTCTTGTCAATAACCATTTTCTTGGTACCATTTAGTGTAAAAACAGTCCCAAATATGTTTTCGAAATATGAATGTCGTTCTTTTGAATATATTTAAAACTAAACCTGAAAACTTACTTTTTCGGGATTGTGGAAACATATGGCATTAAAACTTTGTCTACAAAACTGCCGAAACCAAGTCTAAAATTTGAAGTAATATTTCTCATAGTTTGCGACAATAGGTCTCCTAAGATTGATAACTTCTCCTTATCGTCTTCCATTGATTTAGATAAATCCATTAAATAATAGAGATCGACCGGATAATCCTCGGCTTGAGCATATTGAAAGTGTAACTTATGTGCCTCATCTAAAAAATTGAAATGTGGTCTTGGGTTCTACCCAAATACTAAATCTTATGATACTTACTAACTCTCATTTTTAAGGAAACTCGCTGAGGACTAATTTGCACAATACGTCTTGTTTGAGAGTACGAATACGAATTTTGACCATATGAGGATGACCCAGAAGAACTTGAATAACTGTAAGATTCTTGATAACCAGCACCAGAAAAATAGCCCTCATCACTCTGGGCAGTAATCATTTTTTTAGCGCGTGTTAAATTACGTCCAAATAAAATTTTTTCCTCATTGTCGGGATTGACAATAAATTCCTCAGGACACTGTCTATATGAAGGCACAGAAGGTTCAAAGCAACGAGGAGAATCGCCAAAATCCTCCTTCATACACCAAGCACAGCTTTTCGTTCGAATACACTCGCGACAGCTTGACTTGCTTATGCAAGGGTTATGCGTATATTTATCAAGAAAACCCTGTGCATTTGTGTTATGTATTACTGCACAAAATAAAATTACGAAACATAACGTAATATGAGAGCTCATACTATGGCTTTTTAGAACTTGCAACGATTTAAATTTCTATGCAAATGACTTGAACTCTTTATTCCAATTACTATAAAGATTATTGTTGCTTATGCTCATGCACATAACTCTCAAAAGATGAAGAATGTTAAAATCATCTGAGAAAACTTCACACCTTAAAAAAAGATATATATTTCCATTACGCGAGTTTGAAAACTTAATTTCTCTTTAATTTAAAAATTAAGAAATAAATTGTTAAATATTTTAATACGATGACTCATTCAAACCTTCCTTGAAATAATATTTTTATATGTATATGTATATACGTATATCTTAACTTTTTAGAAAAGACTCAAATTAGTCATCCTTAATGACAAAATAATTTAGAAAAATTTAAGCCAATACGTACATATACATATGTATACATATGTATGTATATTTTAAGCAAATTAAAAAAAAATTGAAATTCTTTGAATAGAAAACTGGATTTTCATTGTGTGGGCTAACAGTCTAAACCCATGTGTAAAACGCCTATTTCAATTAGTTTTTAGAATTTGAAAATGCAACATACAAATTTGCAATTGCAAATCATCACTTTTCATTGTTGCATTTATACTTTAAAATTAATTAACATTACTTTATATGGCAAATTTTAAATTCAGATGTTATTTTTTTTCATGGCTAAATTCATAACTTATAAGTGTACTCTTTTTAAAACTTACAATTTTTTTTTAGAACTGAAAATTTTCAATAGGTATTGAAATAAATATGAGCAAGTTCACTTATAAAAGAAATATTACGATTGCCTTTAAAAAAATTTTTTTTAGTCAATAACTCCCACACTTTATATATTTTGTTTCTCTAGTCGTTTTAAAACTGACATTTCGCCTAGTGGTTTGGTACAGAATACTCATGTGTCGTTCGCGAACGAACTAACTTGGAAAACGAATCACTTCACTGAACTTAGCTGATTAGTTCACTTTTTCAAAAATGAATCGTTCAGCGTTCTTTAAGAATTCCAATTTTCTTTTTTAGTTATTAAAAAATATGACTGTATATACATTGGTAATTGATATACATTTTATATTATTCCTTATTTTTTTCTATATTAATATTACACAATACAAATAAAATTGAACGACATACCAAATCCAATACTCATAAAAAAGAACGATATACTATATGCAATGTTGATAAAAGCAAACGAGAAGGAAAATAAATGAGAGGCTATACACACACAAAAGTAACCGAATCAGTTGCCAATATAAATACAATTGCCATGTGTCGTTCGCGAACGAACTAATCTTAAAGAACGAATCACTTCACTGAACTTAGCTGATTAGTTCACTTTTTCAAAAATGAATCGTTCATCTTTCACAAAGAATTCCAATTTTCCTTTTTAGTTATTAAAAAATATGACGGTATATACAATGGTAATTGATATACATTTTATATTATTCCTTATTTCTTTCTGTATTAATATTACACAATACAAGTAAATTTGAAGAAGATACTAAATAACGCATATGCAATACCTATAAAAACAAACGACATACTCCCATATGCAATATTGATAAAAACAAAAGAAGTAAAATAAATGAAATTCTATACACACAAAAGAGACCGAATCAGTTGCCAATATAAATACAATACAAGTAAAATTGAACGATATACCAAATCCAATACCTATAAAAACGGACGATATTATTCTATATGCAATATTGATAAAAGTAAATGAAAAGTAAAATAAATGAAATTCTATACACACAAAAATGACCGAATCAGTTGCCAATATAAATGCAATACAAGTAATATTGAGCGATATACTAAATCCAATACTCCTAAAAACGAACGATATAGTCCTATATGGAATATCGATAAAAGCAAATGAGAAGTAAAATAAATTAAATACTATACACACAAAAGTGACCGAATCAGTTGCCAATATTAATACAATACAAGTAAAATTGAATGATATGCCAAATCCAATACCTATAAAAACGGACGATATTATTCTATATGCAATATTGATAAAAGTAAATGAAAAGTAAAATAAATAAAATTCTATACACACAAAAGTGACCGAATCAGTTGCCAATAATAAATACAATACAAGTAATATTGAGCGATATACTAAATCCAATACTCCTAAAAACTAACGATATACTCCTATATGGAATATCGATAAAAGCAAATGAGAAGTAAAATAAATTAAATACTATACACACAAAAGTGACCGAATCAGTTGCCAATATTAATACAATATAAGTAAAATTGAACGATATACTAAATCCAATACTGATAAAATCGAACGAGACCTGAAGCAAATGAAATTTATTCTACACAAATAAATGTGGCCGAATCAATTGCCTTACCAATATAATATACAGTACAAATAAAAGTATTGTATAAAAGGAGACATGAAGTATAAATGAAATCCAAAACAAATAAAATTGAACAATATGCTAAATAACATATGGCTACAGGCAATACAAATAAAATGAACGAGAACTGATCAAATATAAATACCTAAATATTTTAAATAAAAGAAAAAACTAAAAAAAATTAATCATTATAAGTTAACATTATAACCCATTAGGGATTGAAGTCAAATATTAAAGTAGGATAGGATTTCAGTTTCCTTCGAGTATTAAAAATACAGATAGTTACAAATATTTTTGTTCTATAGATTACTTGTGAGGAATATTAAATTTAAACTCAAATAGTTTAAAATTTTTATTTCTTCAAATTTAAGAAATTGCTTATAATTTAACAAATATTTAATTAAAAGTTTTAAATTTTTCTCTACGTTTTAAACTTTTTGGTTTATATATTGGTTTACATCATTTTGTGGTTCAAATTTACAAAACCCTTACATATTCTTTTCTTTAAAATTTACCATAAATACGCCATATAATTACAACCAAAAGGCATGCAATTATATATACAGAAGGGAAGTGAACGAAATGCACGATTGAACGAGATTTTATAATCGGTTAGTGAAAAAAAGTAGTTCGTTCAGAACGAATCATTAAAATGAACGATATTGCTTATGACTAATAAAGAACCAAACCAATACATCAGTCATTAATAAGGTTATCGATAGTACATGATACAGGTGGGGAACTATCGATGAAATGCATATCAATGATATTTGTCTTAGCTATCGAAACTAATCGATGGTTTCAACCGACATAATACTGTTGTCAAACAAACTTCTTGTCAAATAATAATAAATTTTGAAAAATGACAAGCACTTCTAAATTTTATATATTCCATTACATTATTATTAAAGATAAACAAGACATTTTGAACAAAAAACGTAATTTAAGAAAACAAATGTGAGGTTTTGTTGCAATTATATTCAAGTATTGGGTTTTGTTGAAAGTAAAGTTGCAAATAAAAGTTTTTTTGCCATAATTTTGATCAGAAACAAACGCCAAAATGCTTTTAATGTCAATTTTGTTCAATATTATATAAATTAAACAATAACATAAATTAAATTTTGGTTATTTTATATAAAAAAATGTAAAAAATTGTAACTTTTTCTAATGTTGTAAGAGATTATAAATTTGTCCTGAACTTGTTTTATAAGAAAGAAATTTAAGCACAAGTAATTTATTTTAAATACCGCTATAACCTTATTTGGTTAAGTGTAACAGAATTATAAATGAGTAAGTTTTCTGTAGTAAACTGAGCGTAATATGTAGTTTATTTTACAACATAATATACAATTTTTGAAATTACTACAACGTTACATGAAAAATATTATAATTTTGTGTTTTTAAGTCTACTTTGCCAACAGGGTCATTGAATAATGAGTAATTTTAGAAAATTAAATAGAAAGCTTCAAGGAAAATGTTTAATAAAATTAGAAATTAAGATGGCACTGTAGAAACTAACATTTCGTATTTTAGAACTTTTATAAAAATTTTAGATTTTTTTCATAAACAAATCAAAATACTTCGAAAACTGAATCAGGGGTCGATTTAACAAAAAATTTTTTTTTCAATGGTTGATAATTTTTCCGAAATATAATTTTTTTATTGGTGTGAAAAGAAAACTTCCTTTTATTCGTCGCTTTAAAAAGCGAAAAATAAAAAAAAAAAGAAGTATTTTATTCCGAATAAAAGGAAGTCGATTTAACATTTCTTATCACATCTAAGAAGCTAATTGAACGTAAATAAAATGGAAATATAACAACGTTTATTTCGAATCCATTTTAACATTTATTTCTACAGTTAGTACAAGGACTTCAAAATATTAAACGCATATACCAATCGATTTTTTTGTTTTGTTTCATGCCAAGATTCCAAAATTATCTAAGCTTTATGTTATATTAAATAGCTTATTATCTAAGCTATTCTTGCGTTATTCTACCTAGCGTTATTTAAATTGCTAAATAAAATTCAAAGTTTTTTTCCTGAGTTTATTTTAGCTGTCTTTCTATATCTTTTTTTATCAGATAAGCCCAGAAATTAAGCATTGATTCACGATTTATTTAGTTTTCAATTTCATAATTATTATGAGTTAATTCTAATGTTGCACAATTCATACATTTATTCCCATTCACTATTCTATAAACATAAAACTATCGAACTTTTTCTTGATTATCAAAAAATTTACGTTTAATCACAATCAATCGATCAATCACAAATTCTAAGGCTTTTGAAAATTTTAATTTATCCTACTGACCTCGCACATAATACCTAGATTTTCTGGTTACTAATAATTGCTTAATTATTTTAACTGTTTAAAAACTAGAAATAGTATAAACATTTGAAAGTTATACACAAGTTACTTTATCAATTTGTTAAAGCCATAAAATGGCTTGCAATAATCTTTGAAATCTGTCAATTAACATCATGTTTCATGATAAAAATATATTATGTCAAGTTTTAAATTTACAAATAATGTATTTTGAAATAACATTTTACGGCTACTAATACTACAATCCAAGCAAACATGGGATTTTGTTACAAAAAATTTTTTGTGTTGCAAGTAAAGGTTTTTGATATATTTAATTACATTCAAATGTAGGGTTTTTATTTTACAACACTTTTTAATCGTTTTTTTTTTAGTGAAAAAGCAAAGGTTACCAACATGTTTATGATAGCAAAATGTGTAAAATACAGAGAAAGAGGAATAAGATCTTATCATTAGTTTAATTTTTTTAAGTTTTGCATATATATGGGTTTTGATTCTACTATCATCATATATTCAGAATATTATTCTGAATATTCCCTTTTTGGAATGAACGTTTGAAAACACTTGTTAATAGCTATTTCAAGGTAGAATTTTAAAACACAGCTTGTCCTTCGAATATTGAATTTAATCGAGCTTTAACATAAACGAGCTAATGGCATCAATATTTCAATGTATAGAACAGGTATGTCAATCACATTTATTATCACGGGCCAATTTATGGTTTCGGTACATTGCCTCGGACCGCTAATATAAAATATAAAAATACAAATAATAAAGTCATATAAAAAAATATAAAATCATTTTTTTTAAAAATTTACCAACTTTGCTTTTTATTTTCATATTCTCATAAATTGAACAAAGGTCGTTTCCGCACGTTCGGACTATATTTTTAACCAAGCAAAATATTTCATTTTACTAGACATGTGCAAAACTGAAATGGTTTGAAAGTTCGTTCATTCACTCGTGCGTTAACAAATATTTAACTTTTGACGGAAGGCTGAACCCGAAATAAACTCGTAATTTTAAGTCATAATATTAACTTTATTTTGTGCTTTGTTCTGTAAGTGCTTACCACATGCTTTGTGAATTATGTTATATTTTTCTACGAATTGATTTTAATGTCAGATGTTGAATACCAGTCCTGTGGATATACCAAAGGGCTGATATTCAATATCTGATATTGAAATTTTGGTCTTCTGGTAGTTAAAAGTTGATTATAGTGCAAAATAATTTTGTTCGGTTCTTCGTACAGTGAGCGGA